GTCATTTTGAGCAAAAGTCTCTTCCATAGGTTGTCCAGGGGGTGTATTTTTATTAGTAATATACCTATGGAAGATGTCCTAGGGGGTCAATTTCTGTAGCTTGTCCGAGGGTGGATATTGAATGTTTTTGTCCGAGGGGGTCATTTTGAGCAAAAGTCTCTTCCATAGGTTGTCCAGGGGGTCTATTTTTGATAGTAATAATATTATACCTATGGAAGATGTCCTAGGGGGTCAATTTCAGCAGTTTGTCAATGGGGGAAATTGAAAATTTTTGTCCATGGGGGTCATTTTGAGCAAAAGTCTCTTCCATAGGTTGTCCAGGGGGTCTATTTTTCAATAGTAATATACCTATGGAAGATGTCCTAGGGGGTCAATTTCAGCAGTTTGTCAATGGGGAATATTGAAAATTTTTGTCCAAGGGGGTCATTTTGAGCAAAAGTCTCTTCCATAGGTTGTCCAGGGGGTCTATTTTTTAATAGTAATATACCTATGGAAGATGTCCTAGGGGGTCAATTTCAGCAGTTTGTCAATGGGGGATATTGAAAATTTTTGTCCAAGGGGGTCATTTTGAGTAAAAGTCTCTTCCATAGGTTGTCAAAGGACGGCATTTTGATCAAAAGTCTCTTCCATAGGTTGTCCATTGGGTTATTTTGGGCAAAAATCTTACATTTAAGGTTGTCCAAGGGGGTCATTTTGAGTAAAACTGTTTACATTATGTTGTCCAAGGGGGTAACTCTGAGTGTTTGTCCTAGGGGGGGTATTTTCATCTCAGACCTCTTCCATAGGGGGGGTGCGGATATTTTCTGGAATAGCCCAATTGAAGATCATGCTCAGGTTAATACTGAGGATAAACTTGAAGGACAATTATAGATAAAATTACGAAGTCATTCTGGACCAGTAAGCAGCGGGAGATCCCTGGAAAGACAAACATGAGGCTGTATACTTTGTGATTGATCAGTGAATTTTATTTCGATCAACACATATGTGTGCGTTTTCGTGTAATTGTCAATAACAACATGACTTATTAAAGATTTACAGACTGACAGGATATATCACCTAAGAGAATTCTCTTGCTGAACTTGATGAAGAAGGTATGATAATGCATTTAACTTTTTGTGCCACTGTCAGTTAAACAGTTTGCATGACTTTTTGTGTTTTTGTTGTGTTTTGTGTATAAAACCATTATCTGATATGAAAATTGGCAAAACAAAGGAACGAAGTCATATAAAAGAATATATTTTGTTCATTCCATATTTCATGCACTGTTATTATTCCTAAACCAAAAAGTCAAGATTGCTCAGGCCTTGATATCTTGTTGTCATGTCACTAGCAAAACACATATATGGCACAAAATCACAATTATTTTCAACAAAGACTCAATTAAGCCATGCGATAACACAGTAAGAAGTCATTTCCTCGTTATAAGCCAAGAGACATGGGGACAACGTGCCACAGTCTGGCATGTTTTGTAGCGCCCAGGAAAAAAAGGCGATAAACAACAACGCAACATGCAAAAGTGTAACATATCAGCCACCATACTAGAAAGAGGTCAAAATATGCAAAAAGTCCTTAAGCTGCGGTCTCACTTACTCCCGGCAGAGCCCAGGACCATCCCGGTAAGTTACCGGGATGATCCGGGGTGAAATTATTGTTGCGGTTACCCTTACAGAGCAGAGCTAAGGATAAAGCCGGCAAAGCTATTCTTCCCGGATCATCCCGAACCACCCCAGTGATATTAAATATTTTATTCTATCAGGGGTCGAATGTTCCCGGATCATCCAGGATGTTGCCGGCAGAGTTACGGTTGTATCCAAGTTGTCTACCGGGGCTCTGCCGGGATGTAAGTGAGACTGTAGCTTTACTGCGTTAGTCATACAGTAGAAATATAGTGAAATATGGTGATGATACTGAAAAATCAATCAGCAGTTGTTCACAACTGTCATAAAAAATATTACTAAAAACTTGAATTTTTACTTTTCTTAAAATCCTAGGACAATGTACATTTTGCTAAGCTTGTGTTCTTAAATTATTTTGGCTCATGTTGTTTAAAATAAGTCAAAACGATTTTTAATGTGTATTAAATACTTTCCAGATACATTGATAATTATTTAGCTCTATCAAGCAGATTCCAAATTGAAAATACTGTAAAACATATAATCATGCTTATTTTTCCCAATCTTTAAAAAAATTCCTTATCAAACTGAAATTTGGAATATCCAATGCAATACAGTTAGTTATTGATTAAGTTCATTCCGGTATTGTTACAGATATATGTGTCACAGTGTGTTGTTGTTTTTTTTGGTAGAGTACAATAATTTTTTTTCAATAATTTAGGAAGATTTCCCTGTTGAAAAACTTGCTTTTTCCTAATTTTATCAGCAAAATTTCCAAAATGATGACTTAGACAATTTGTCTTCTCATCAAAGGTTGATAAAGGGCTTGTTTATTTCTAGTAGCAGGGAAAAGAAACAATGTCATCTTCTGATGAAAATCAAACTGTTTTTATTTAGTTTTTAAAGAAAGTTATACAGGCTTCATGATCATGAATTAACACACAAGTCATATATTTAATTATAAAGTTATTTCATCAACCTTTTAACTTTCAACTTTTAAAATGTCCCAAAATAGCCTCAATATTTTCCCAATAAAGGTCTTTTCTCAAATTAACTAAATTTAGTCTCATATATTTTATAACCACACTGGCACATTCTTCAGAATTAAACTGAACAACAGGATATTTGTTCTCACTTATAAAGTATTGAAAATATTTTGGATAGGAAGCTGCTTTAGGTCTGATTTAATGTGACACTATATAGTACTGAATGGGAAAAAGGCAATTCTTAACATTAATATTTATATTCTATATGTACTCAAACAGAAATACATTTTGATTTTACAATTACATGTACTTTTGTCCATTTCTTGTATTATTATTATATTGAATTAAACTGCTTTGTCTCTAAAATACTTCTTCTTTACACAATGTAAACTATGAAAGTAAATATATTTATGATTGAACTCAGATGAATGAAAGCATTATTAAAGCATATTTAGCATTATACCTTGGAAATGGCCATGTGGAGATATTCAATATCTCATCCCCATTGTTACTCTTGATATATCTTAGATGGGGAGGGAGGGGGTTGATAAATAAGCAATAAATAGAGGGAGAGAGAGATTTAGACCATTATTCCATTGTTCAATGAGGATGTATTTTATTTATTAAATAATTTATTCAGACTTTCAATGTAGATGAAAATATTTTACAAAATTATAATATCTTAACAATATATAGAACTCTAGAAAAGATACTTGGACACTTTTTCATTTTTAACCAGTTATAGACTATGCACTTATTAAACTATATATAACTTATTGTTTATGGTAACAGTCATACACTATTCATTACATTATGTATATATATTGAGACCCTGGTTTACCTACTTCAATGACATATAGCCTATTCCTAAAGGTACTGGACTAGTATAATGTTGGCCAGTGACAGGTTCCAATCATTCATTAAGTGTTTAGTATTTTTATTTACAAGATCCATGTATAAGTAATAAATATATAAGATCCAAGAATTCCTAAACAACATCAATAAAAATAATTCAAAATTGAAGTAGAGGTAAATTAAAAATCACTTTTGATTGTTCATAAATTAATTAATTATGGTAAATTCAAGATGACATTTTTTTATAATTATTTTTCATTTAGTTTCTCCTGTTTAGTAAATTTACTGCTGGGAACCAAGTCAATTTTGCATTTGAGTGTTGTGACTAGTGAGAATTAAAGTTAAAACATGTTGAATGTTTAAAATAAAGGATGTCAGCCATACAGTCACAAGAAAGCAAAATGATTTTGTTTTCATTTATGTGTTTTTCATATATATTGTTTGTTTGTTTTGTTGTTGTTTTGTTTTTTATTTTTATTTATTTTTTTTTTTGGGGGGGGGGGGGGGGTAATTAGCAATAAGTAGACTTTTATTTTATTATTTATTTTGCTATGATATGGTAAACTTTCAGTATTTTAAAAGCTCTTCTATCTTTGGCAAATGCAACAAGATTTTCCCAAGTGATTGATAAGGTATTTAGTAACTGAAACAGAAGTTTCATATATTATATAGTGAAACTACAGAGAGTAGTTTGGGGCAAAATCATTCAAAAATTGCATCTGCGGTTACACAAAATATTTTGGGTTCGAACGTTTTAGGTACGAATCTGATAGAAAATATATGCGTCAATACTTCTGCATTGAGTGGTTCTTGTATGAAATTAGTTACATTCTAACCATTTTCTGCCCCAGTTGACGGATGATTTTGATTTATAACATTATATCAGCGAATATTTGCTCATTTGCAGTACATTTTAATTTGTAAACAAAGCCCATAGCAACCATGCAAGTTATTCGTACCTAAACACCAGTTCCGAGGTCATAAACAAGTTCATCCTACGTAAAGGTTATACTCTGTACATTTGTTTAATGATAATATGTAATTAGTGTGGTGACAATTAACATCTTAATTGACAATTTGAACCGATTTTAACTTCACTATCAAAATTTTCGATTGTAATAAAGATGGGAGCGTAAACCATGTGTCAATTTTGACATATTCCGCGAAAACAACATAACCGGATATAGAATTTATTGCATGTCGGGATTAGTATTGGTTAGTTTAACCAGCGGTTAATTTTAACCATTTTGGTTAGTTAACCTTTTGGTTATCCCGGTTTATACAAGAGACTAACCAAATTGGTTAGTTAACCAAAGTTGGTTAAATTTAACCCACGGTTAGCGTTTAACCCAGGGTTAATTTAACCAACGTTTATACAATTGGGTGCTGTTGTTTAACACTGATGTAAATAATTTAACGAAAATTTATTCGCCAAAACAGTCCGACATGTATATATTCCACTACTCGACAGTCAGATTTATTTGTGTGTATTCGGTAATCGACATCGCTAAAAGATTAAAATCATATTTGAATTTTATTATTTCAGGATGCTTGTTACATCTTTTCCTCTGAATAATGCCCTTTTCCAGCAGGCATGGCTTGTTCATGGAGGATGGCAAGCAGGTGGCCGCCGTTTGGAAAAAGTTGACCATATTAGCTGTACATTTTCTACATCAGTTCCTTTTGACAATTTTGAAATTACAGTAGAAAGTTCCGAGCCACTTAAGGCAATAAAGGTATGTGGTAATACTAGTATTCTATATGTATTAATTAATCAAACACATGCATCAATTCTACATGTAATATGTACGCTCGTACGTATGTCATTATAAACTACATGTTTTTTTTTTATTTTATTTCTAAAGCACATATGTTTAATGTTTACTTATTGTGAAGGAAATTATTATTGAATTTTACCCGAAATACAGGCACACACTAGCTATATTTGAATATTATTTTTTGTGTATATTGCAAATGCATTGTAGATCTATATGTAAAAAATGTATTGAATTTAAACAACGAGGAAGTCAATAAAAAGAATTAACATATTCAAGGGGAGATAAATCAAATACATGCATACTTATAAATACATAAAGGGAGGTAATCTGAAACTTCAACATCTATTATATTGAAATACTACTGAAATTAACATAATTATATACTTGGCACAAAATGTTGTATGTTCCAATTTAAACTTGTCTTTATACAGTTATATCAGAGTGATTCACGTGAACTTCAAATATAGATATTAATAATAAAATCTATCTAATACACTTATCTTCATTTGAGCCGCGTCACGACAAAACCAACATAGTGGGTAGGCGACCAGCTAGATCCAAACCAGCCTGCGCATCAGCGCAGTCTGATCAGGATCCATGCTGGTCGCCTACCAACTATATTACAAGTAGAGAAACTGACAGCAAACAGCATGGATCCTGATCAGACTGCGAGGATGCGCAGGCTGGTCTAGATCCATGCTGGTCGCAAACCCATTATGTTGGTGTTGTCGTGACGCGGCTATTTTATTATTTTTCTTTTCTGTTTAGACATGGTCATTAGAGCAGGTCTCTGAGGGAAGTCAAGGTCGGGTTTTCACATTTCAAAATATAGTGCGAATGTATCCACCTAGGATAGTTCTAAATTTTCACATTACAACATTTGGAATGCTTGAACCGAGTGGAAATTGCTCGTTTACGACAAGAGGTACTGAACAATCTACTGTAAAAAACCATCCGTGGTTGCTGAGTAAGTTAGACATCGCATTTATTAGTTATGGTGGAAGGGGGGGGGGTATATTTTTAACACCTACATTTCCATCTGAAAGTATTTTTTGAAATGAAAATTTGAATAAACAAAGGTTATGATATATCTTTATTCTGTCATAGCATGTGTTTCTTCCCAGTTGACATTACAAAACTTTCAGCGGAACATACTAGACTGCCCACAGCTGACAATACATTATCGAAAAATATAACAGCAATATAAACCAGTCATAACATATATATTTCGTGCGCGATATAGTTATATTCACGCAAAATAATGTTCACTTGTTCGATGTATAGTCAAATGAAACAAATGCCATAAAATATAATCGTCTACGTTAAATGGTAGTATATTTGTAATTTGATAAGATTTTTACTGGACTGTGATTATGTTTTATATGAGAAGTAACATTTTAATAATTCAACCTTGTTCTTTATAGATGATTATTGCCCATTTTCATTATTCTCTATAAATAAGATACCCTTTTTTGGGGGTTATTTTTTGTCATTTATTTTACCTCTTTTGGGGGCTTTGTTTTTACAGATGATGAATCGACAATGGGTTATTCCACCATGTCTACAAGCACCGGATTTTCCTTTATAGACCCAATGCGTGTAAATCCGTGTGTGGAGAAATCCGTGATGTTCCCGGATACCGCTTATGTGCAACCGAAAGGTCTGCTCTTCATATTTGGAGGAAATAAAAAAATCAATGAATTATTTAATGCAATAAACATGAATTGTATCATATTCTGGGGACCTTTCTGTTGAAAATGTATGCGCGAGTTAAATCGTATACATATAAATGCACAGGGCGTTAACAGGAGTGCAGGTATTAGTTACCCGCACTCCAGAGCATGCCTTTTATCTTGGGTTTACTTATTTTGACGGTAGAGACGGGGATTGCGGCAGAAATATCATATTTAGATGTTCGTTCATTGGTTACTTTTTTCTGGGTTTCATATTGTGACAACAGGGAACGTGTTTTTATGTTTGACTATGATACAAAAGAGAAAGAACACCAAAACTTGTAAATCAGAGAGGCTATACTAATTATGTATTGATTTTTATTGATCTCAATATAATTGGGTAATTATTCGCAACATTTATATTTTAAGAGATTGGTAAGATAGACCTCCAAAAACAACAAACTTAAAAAAATTTATACACACCGTCTTAATCACTTGTAATCCTAATCCAGGTAAATCTTTAAATGTGTAAAATATTACCGAATATTTACTTCTTTTATTACCGAAATAACCCGTGACTAACAGAATAAGATACATATTTTGCAAATAAATCTGAAAATTTTGAGATATTAAAGGTAGTTTCTTTAAATATTATGCGATTTTAGCTAGATTTTATCACATATTTTTACAATTGACCTCATAGTTTTTGTTATTTTTAGCTCACCTGTCACAAAGTGACAGGGTGAGCTTTTGTGATCGCTTTTCGTCCGGCGTCCGTCCGTCCGTCGTCCGTCCGTAAACTTTTGCTTTAAATGACATCTCCTCATAAACCACTGAGCCAATTTCATCCAAACTTCACAGGAATGTTCCTTTGGTGGTCACCTTTAAAAATTGTTCAAAGAATTTAATTCCATGCAGAACTCTGGTTGCCATGGCAACCGAAAGAAAAATCTTCAAATATCTTCTTTTTAACAACCCTAAGAGCTAGAGCTTAGATATTTGGCATGAAACATCTTCTAGTGAGTGTCTACCAAGTTTGTTCAAATAAAAGCCCTGGGGTCAAAATTTGCCCCGCCCTAGGGGGTCAGTGATTTTCCCTATATGCATATAGTAAAAACTTTAAAAAATCTTCTTTTAAAGAACCCAAAGAGCTAGAGCTAAGATATTTGGCATGAAACATCTTCTAGTGAGTGTCTACCAAGTTTGTTCAAATAACAGCCCTGGGGTCAAAATTGGCCCCGCCCAGGGGGGTCATTAATTGATTTTCCCTATATGCATAAAGTAAAAACTTAAAAAATCTTCTTTTTAAGAACCATAAGAGCTAGAGCTTAGATATTTGGCATGAAACATCTTCTAGTGAATGTCTACCAAGTTTGTTCAAATAAAAGCCCTGGGGTCAAAATTGGCCCCGCCCCAGGGGGTCATTGATTTTCCCTTTATGCATATAGTAAAAACTTAAAAAATCTTCTTTTAAAGAACCATAAGAGCTAGAGCTTAGATATTTGGCATGAAACATCTTCTAGTGAATGTCTACCAAGTTTGTTCAAATAAAAGCCCTTGGGTCAAAATTGACTAGCCCCAGGGGGTCATAGATTTTCCCTATATGCATATAGTAAAAACTTAAAAAATCTTCTTTGAAAGAACCCAAAGAGCTAGAGCTAAGATATTAAGCATGAAACATCTTCTAGTGAGTGTCTACCAAGTTTGTTCAAATTAAAGCCCTGTGGTCAAAATTGGCCCCGCCCCAGGGGATCATTGATTTTCACTTTATGCATATAGTAAAAACTTAAAAATCTTCTTTGAAAAAACCCAAATAGCTAGAGTTTAGATATTAAGCATGAAACATCTTTAAGTAAATATCTACAAAGTTTGTTTAAATAAAAGCCCGGGGGTCAAAATTGACTAGCCCCAGGGGGTCATAGATTTTCCCTATTTGCATATAGTAAAAACTTAAAAAATCTTCTTTTAAAGAACCCAAAGAGCTAGAGCTAAGATATTTAGCATGAAACATCTTCTAATGAGTGTCTACCAAGTTTGTTCAAATAAAAGCCCTGGGTTCAAAATTAGCGCCGCCCCAGGGGGTCATTGATTTTCCCTATATGCATATAGTAAAAACTTAAAAAGTCTTCTTTTAAAGAATTCAAAGAGCTAGAGCTAAGATATTTAGCATGAAACAAGTTCTAATGGGTGTCTACCAAGTATGTTCAAATAAAAGCCCTGGGTTCAAAACTGGTCCCGCCCGGGGGGGGGATCATTGATTTTCCTTATATGTGTATAGCAAAAACTTAAAAATCTTCTTTGAAAAAAACCAAATAGCTAGAGTTTAGATATTTTAGATATTAAGCATGAAACATCTTTAAGTAAATATCTACAAAGTTTGTTCAAATAAAATCCCGGGGGTCAAAACTTGCCCTGCCCCAGGGGTGTCATTGTTTTTAACTATATGTGTATAGTAAAAACTTTAAAAATCTTCTTTTAAAAAAACCCAATGAGCTAGAACTTAGATGTTTAGCATGAAACATCTTCTTATGGGTGTCTACCAAGTCTGTTCAAATAAACAAATAAAAGCCCTTGGGTAAAAATTGGCCCGGGGATGGGGGGGGCTATATACAGGTGAGCGACCTCAGGGCCATCATGGCCCTCTTGTTTTATGAAAATAAGCAAGACGTGCTGCATTGACAGAATGTTTAACTGCATGATTTTGAAGTAACCGCTTTTACGTGTACCTTTGCAATTACATGCAATATGACTTATCTGCCAATGTATTGAAGATAGTTTGTTTGTTTGTTTGTTTCATTTTACGCCTTTTTCCAACAGTATTTCAGTCATATTGGCGGGTAGTTTCCTAACCATCGTTCCTAGAGAGTTACACCAGTACTAAACTACCTTCCTCCGCGCTAAACTACCAAAGCATCTCCCGGGGATCGAACCCACGCCAGAGAGGTAATTGGATTAGAAGTCATCGACTCTAACCCCTCGACCACGGAGGCGGTTATTGAAGATAGTAAAAACATTTTTAAATGTAGAATCAGTCATGAGTTGTCACTGATATTGTGAGATTAAAGTGACGTTATGTCCATCCAAGGGCACAGAGTGAGTGAACAGGTCAAAGGTAACACAACATGGTGGTTATATTACAAGTAAAAACAGAATCAAGAGAAGTCACGTGATAATCATTTTCCCTTAACATGTGTAATATTCAAGATAATTGAATACTAGTATACAAATTTATCATTTTCCGTTTTTTATTTAGTTCCAGAATCACTACCACCTGGCGTTACCACGACAGGAATGCCATGTACGTATAGTATATAATCTAAAATATAAGAAATGCCATGTACGTATAGTATATAATCTAAAAAATAAGAAATGCCATGTACGTATAGTATATAATCTAAAAAATAAGAAATGCTATGTACGTTCCAAAAAGTTTAAGTAAACAATTTTTACCTTAATGAGAATATATCATACAAGTAAACGCGATTTTTGTTCAAGGAAACCTTGTAATAATGCGACTCTGAAGTTATTAACTCCCGTGTTAGTTTTGAGATATGACTGTGTTTACAAATATGAAATATTTGTTTCAGTATTTAGACCGTTTCCTCTACGACCGGGTAACAGGCTCCCGCTTCCTGCACCACGTTTGAAAAGAGAAATCTGGAATCCAAGTAAGAATCTCTTATGTAGCAGATTTATATTTGAGTCGTGTCATGACAAAACCAACATAATATGTCTGCGACCAGCATGGATCCAGACCAGCCTGCGCATCCGCGCAGTCTGATCAGGATCCATGCTATTCGCTATCAGTTTCTCTACTTGTTAAAGGGTTTGTAAGCGAACAGCATGGATCCTGATCAGACAGGCTGGTCTGGATCCATGCTGGTCGCAAACGCATTATGTTCGTTTTGTCGTGACACGGCTCATATATCATTGATGATCTAGTATGTACATGGCTCAGTGTTTCTGGTGAATGCTCTTAACCCAGGGATCTATGGCTCGAGCCCTGCTGGTGTCACAACCTTGTTTCCTAACTTAGCGGAAACAAATATTTCTAATAAGCAACGTTTTATTTTGTTTTTCATTTTTTTTACAATTAATGATTTAACTTGGAATTAAGATACATACACTATGCAAATAATTTGAATTTTATTAACATGTGTTAACGTTCCTTATATTTTTATATACATATAAATTATATTTAGTCTTGAACTATTTACTTAGCAGATGTTACCTTATACAATAACGGTTTATAGATTAAATATTAAAAGAAACAACAAACCAAAAACAGTAGATATAGAAAGTAAACTTCGTTAGATTAAATTGAATATTGAATTGAATATTTTAAATGTATATGTAATTAGCTCCGCACCTTTGACCCTATATGTATTATAATCAATATACAATGTATTCTTTATGCAGAACACACTAATCTTCTATAACATACTTGCAGGCTTGGCAAGTCTTCCTCCACCACCCCCTCCGGCACCGTTCCAGTCTGTTACAATAAACTACCCGGATGCTATAGAGAGATCGATGATGTTCTATGAGGCGCAGAGATCGGGTGACTTCCACTTGTCTTCGCTATCCCAGATAAATGGATGGGCCGGACCATCTGGCGAGTTTCATACTACTCGAGATGGAAAAGATTTATCTGGTGGCTGGTATAACGGTAAGATTTTCAACTCTTGTAGCTTGAACAATACTTTGATACATACCACGGCGCATGTCTATATCTATATCCTCTATTCCGAAACCTGCTAAAACGGTAACCTCTTTTCCGAAATCTACTAAAACGGTACCCTCCATTCAGAAATCTACTAAAACGGTACCCTCTTTTCCGAAATCTACTAAAACAGTACCCTCCATTCAGAAATCTACTAAAACGGTACCCTCTTTTCCGAAATCTACTAAAACGGTACCCTCTATTCAGAAATCTACTAAAACGGTACCCTCTATTCATAAATCTACTAAAACGGTACCAACAATTCAGAAATCTACTAAAACGGTACCCTCTTTTCAGAAATCTACTAAAACGGTACCCTCCATTCAGAAATCTACTAAAGCAGTACCCTCTATTCATAAATCTATTAAAACGGTACCCTCTTTTCAGAAATCTACTAAAACGGTACCCTCTATTCCGAAAGCTACTAAAACGGTACCCTCTTTTCCGAAATCTACTAAAACGGTACCCTCCATTCAGAAATCTACTAAAGCGGTACCCTCTTTTCCGAAATCTACTTAAACGGTATCCTCTTTTCCGAAATCTACTTAAACGGTACCCTTTATTCCGATATCTACTTAAACGGTAGCCTCTTTTCCGAAATCTACTTGAACTGTACCCTCTATTCCGAAATCTACTTAAACGGTAGCCTCTTTTCCGAAATCTACTTAAAAGTGTACCCTCTATTCCGAAATCTACTTAAACGGTAGCCTCTTTTCCGAAATCTTCTTAAACGGTAGCCTCTTTGCTCATGCACAGGTCATTCTCTGCTGAACATTAATTAATCCACAAATGTTCATTCTACTGATAATTAACAGGTACACTGGAATGTTTAAACATGTATTGCCATGGATCTGAATAAGAATTATTATCCTTCCATGCTATTTTTTGTTTTTATTTTACCACAGGGAAGTTCCGTTGTATTGCTAAGGAATATGTCCACTTTTCAATTACTGCAACGCGACAACAAGCTGCACAATATGTTTACATTTAATTAAATATTTTCAATGATAATTACATCGGAAATTGATTTCATTACGCTTGAAATTGCGATATAATCACAATCACACAAACATACACAATTTCAAATCATATATGAAATCAGTTTTTACTCGATGGTATAAACAACAAGAACAGCAACCTTCGAACATATTCACTTGCAATGCATGACCCCAATAAAACATGGCACGTTGTTTGTTTAAGAAGAATTTTGTTGAGAAGACAGAGTACGTTGTTTTAAATGTCAAGGATCAGAACTGTTCATTATATAGGGAAGAAGATGTGTAAGCAGACGGATAGCTCAGTCGGTAGATCTGTGATACGATATTCCGAGGTTCCTTGGTTCGAGTCCCGCTTAGGTTGTTCATTTTTCTCACCCCGTGACACTAAAAAAATACAGATTGATATTTAACACCATTCCTGTTCTGTCATTTCTTTGTTTCTTCTATCATATCGGAGATTCGGTGATAAATAAATCAAATCACAATAAATGTATACATTTGATTTTATCTCGTTCACTCTGGTAGATCTATACCGTTTTAAATGTATACATTTTTTTTATTTTATCTCTTTCACTCTGGTAGATCTATACCGTTATAAATGTATACATTTTATTTTATCTCTTTCACTCTGGTAGATCTATACCGTTATAAATGTATACATTTTATTTTATCTCTTTCACTCTGGTACATCTATACCGTTATAAATGTATACATGTTGTTTTATCTCTTTCACTCTGGTCCATCTATGTATACATTTTATTTGATCTCTTTCACTCTGGTAGATCTATACCGTTATAAATGTATACATTTTATTTTATATCTTTCACTCTGATACATCTATACCGTTATAAATGTATACATTTTATTTTATCTCTTTCACTCTGGTAGATCTATACCGTTATAATTGTATACATTTTATTTTATATCTTTCACTCTGATACATCTATACCGTTATAAATGTATACATTTTATTTTATCTCTTTCACTCTGGTACATCTATACCGTTATAAATGTATACATGTTGTTTTATCTCTTTCACTCTGGTCCATCTATGTATACATTTTATTTGATCTCTTTCACTCTGGTAGATCTATACCGTTATAAATGTATACATTTTATTTTATCTCTTTCACTCTGGTACATCTATGTATACATTTTATTTGATCTCTTTCACTCTGGTAGATCTATACCGTTATAAATGTATACATGTTATTTTATCTCTTTCACTCTGGTACATCTATGTATACATTTTATTTGATCTCTTTCACTCTGGTAGATCTATACCGTTATAAATGTATACATTTTATTTGATCTCTTTCACTCTGGTACATCTATACCGTTATAAATGGATATATACATTTTATTTGATCTATTTCACTCTGGTAGATCTATACCGTTATAAATGTATACATTTTATTTGATGTCTTTCACTCTGGTAGATCTATACCGTTATAAATGTATACATTTTATTTGATCTCTTTCACTCTGGTACATCTATACCGTTATAAATGTATACATTTTATTTTATCTCTTTCACTCTGGTAGATGTATACCGTTATAAATGTATACATTTTATTTTATCTCTTTCACTCTGGTACATCTATACCGTTATAAATGCATACATTTTATTTTATCTCTTTCACTCTGGTAGATCTATACCGTTATAAATGTATACATTTTATTTTATCTCTTTCACTCTGGTACATCTTTACCGTTTTATGATTATTACAGGGAATGGCAATGTGAAACTTACATTTCCTATGGCGGCAGCAACGACAGTTTTGGCCTGGGGTTACAATGTTTGGAAGGATACTTATGAACATAGTAGCTTAAAGTTAAACAACAAGTTTAAGAAAATGATTCGATGGCCTTTGGATTATTTCCTCAAAAGCTGGGACCTTGAAACCGAAACTCTTTATGTGCAGGTAAGATACAAAGACCTTATTATTAAGGATGGCGAACTCTTATGAATGGTTTTACATCGGCTAAAGTCGGTTAATATCGTGATAACCCGAGGCCACTCTCGCTTTCTTTCGACAGTTTTCGGATACCTATTTTTAGCATATTTTCGTCATGTGAGAGGGTGTTTTGGATTAAATTTTAATATGTCGTCCTGAATATACATGCTCATGAAGATTCATAATCCTTCATCTAGGTGCATTTAGACAACAATAAGACAATAAGAAATTAATTATTTTCCAGTGTACAAACAACGGAAATGTAGATTAGATAGACAAACTGTTTATACAAGCTAGACTTCAGTGAGTAAGTCAGGGGCGTCCGTGGCCGAGTGGTTAAGGTCGTTGACTTCAAACCACTTGCTCCTCACCGCTGTGGGTTCGAATCCCGACAATGACTTCGGATTCTTTCATGTGAGGAAGCTATCCAGCTAGCTTGCGGAACGTCGGTGGTTCTACTCAGGTGACCGTTCGTGCCTGAAATAATGCACGGAAGGGCACCTGAGGTCTTCCTCCACCAGTAAAGCTGGAACGATAATTATTACCTATACTGTATCGATGCGACGTAAAACCCAAAACAAAACAAACAAATTCAGTGAGTAAGTCATATTGATATCATACATAATCAAAGCACAGAAGGTGCTGAATTTGTTTGGGTCTCAGAATGTCAGAAAGGTGAAGGTTGTGAGATTATAAGCCAATTTGTTTTTGTATAGTGCCACCAATGCTTTCCAGTGTTTTAATTGTAGTAAATTGGCTATAAGACTAATTGCAACACTGATATTCAATGTTTATTTGACTTAAACAATTTGAAAAAAAAAATGAGTTGCACTAACTCGGATTTGAACTCCATACTTCTCTCTTCCTAAGCGAGAGCGTAAACCCCTCGGCCACGGTGAAGTTATATGTTAACGGTCTGAATAAAACCACATTATTCTAATTTAGGGTTTGTAACCCTTATTCTTACACAGATGTAAATAATCATGGAGCTTACTATAAGCATGTATATCTATAAAGAATACAACAATATTAGAAATCTTCGACCATTCGGGAACTATTTTGCTTGAAAATCAATGTGCCTGTCATTTGACCATCTTTACGCAGTGATCTCCCCTTAATTTTTCGGCGTAAGTGTACATATAAATGGAAGTAACCGCTTCAAAAAAGCGGACTACTTTCGGCTTTTGCAATTAACAGCATCAGGGTCTGAAATATTGCTACCATTATGTTTGGTCTGACGACCCAAACAAATAAAAATGAAAAAATTAACGGAAACTTAATCAATCAAAATCTTTATTTATCATTGTTTTATTATTGTTATAATTGTTTGTACTTAAGATTTATCAAGGTACACTGTATAGCTGTATAGCTGAATCTAAGAATGTTTGGAACAAATTATCAAAATAAACACTCGAACATTTGATATCCTTATCCATAGATTGGCAATTTAACCAAAGAACGAACGATGTGGGAAAGAGCAGACAATGACGCGTATAAATTACTCTGGGATCGCAATGAATGGCCAGTGTATAGCGTTTCGCCATCGAAACCCGGAAGTGACGTCGCAGCGGAAGTAGCGTCCGCAATGGCGTTGTCGTCACTTATTGAGTTCGGTAATTTACTTGTACTTTCCTTTTGTATTTGAACTGTATTTACTAAATTGTGAACTTGCAGATGAAACATATTCTGCCAGCAACTCTAAGAAATTGTACAAAGCTAAGTTGCAAGCCCGCCTAGAATATCTTAATTTAATTAGTTCTAATTCATGTCTGGGAAGTTTTGAAAGACAGTTTATATTTAAAGTATACTTATTTCTTTCTAATACGTTCCTGCGTTTAAGATTGGTTATGTAGGTATGTCGTGGTCGTTTTTTTGCACTTGTATCAAATAAGAACTATAAAATGAATAGCAATCTTTCATCATTTTAAGGACTTTCATCTGGAATGCAGTACATTTCCATTGATTGAATAAAAAATTGAATCGATTTGATTGATGGCGAAAAATAGACTGTATCGGCTAATGACCTTGTTTATTCATTCGTTGCTGAATTCATAAAATTGTTGTATAGATTAACTGAGGACCAAATTAAATAATAAATTGGTAAGTTTACGAATTGTCTTCTAGATTAATTGGGTAATTGATTTATTGATTGATTGATAAATTGATTGATTTACGTATATTTGTATACACAGATTCTGCAGATGATGTTATACCAACGACAACAGAGGGTAAATATCTAAACTATTTTTCTATATTATATTGATACTGAATATCTTATGAAATCTCTTAATACCCATAAGGGACGCGTTTCTCTTTTACTATATTGACCTTTTACATTTTGACTTTGAGTATGAAGCTATTATCTGCTGCAAAAGTTAAATTTTGGAAAACAGTACTTCAAAAATGCATGTATGAAAACATAAGATAGTATAATGTTTGAAAAGAGAATGTATATACATGAAACCATTGCTAAATGGTTAAAGTCCGTTATAAAAAGCAACATATAATATTTTGTTCCGAAACATTTTATTCTTTTTAAATACAATATTTATCCTGCGTGTCAACTGACTACTGCAACTCGGCCTACCATGATAATATACCTTTAAAACTAAAATATTTACCAGTAAATTATTATTAAAAGCCTTTGGGACCATTTATTAATAACAAATTTTGACACTCCGCTTACCACGATAGAATAAATGGGCTTAAAAGTAAGCTTGCCTTTCATGTTTTAAGTTGAAACATATCTGCAGCTTTAAAACTGATGTAGAGACGTAATGTAACTTTACATTTATGATTAAAATTAGGACATCCAAATGGATTTTGGTTAGGAAGAAACAAACTTCCAGAACGCTCGCCTAGACAAAAAAGAGCAACAGGTACACATTTCACTAATAATTTTATAATAATTGCCTGTTACTTATGATATGTTCTTGGCGATCAAATGTAGGCACTCAGCATCTACAAAATGTATACACTGTATGTTAATCTATCTCAGGTATATCACTGCTGAAACCATGCAGTAAAGGTATATAATCTTATTTGGGTAACAAAAATATATACTTACATAGCTTCATAAATTCACATGTAGCAATAGCTGTCCAGTATAAATGAAGTTGGCCGCTGATAATAACTATGTAGCAGACATCCATCTTTACATTAATACAGAACATATAATTATGTCTTTGATTAAAGCCAAAACATCGTCAATCACCAATAATCCCAATGTAGAACACTTCTAATACCGTATTTTCTTGCTAAATTCAAGACGATGACGAATACAACAGCAAATTACTGAATACAGCTGAGCAGATATACCGTTTGGCTAAAACATACCCTGGAAAATACAGTGACGTCGTTCCAGTTGCTAGTAAAGACTATCCGTGAGTAAAATTTCTAGATGCTCAATTTTTTCAACTTTTATTAATCATCATACTTTACCACTTCATCATTTTTCATCTTGTGTTATAAACACAAAGGGCCTGCGAGCATTACGGTAGCGCAGGTAATTTTAAACCTTAGGTGGATGGCTGGGAACGGGAGTGATAGAAAATAGTAGGGAGGGGAGTGAATCATTTTGAAAATATATGAAGCGTAAAGAAATGACATCTTTTCTCCGAAATGGGCATGTTTGGGGGATGAAACAAGATGTGTTTGTTTGTTTCATTTTACGCCTTTTCCAACAGTATTTCAGTCATATAGGCGGGTAGTTTCCTAACCATCGTTCCTGGAGAGTTACACCAGTACTAGACTACCTTTCTCCTCCCTAAACTACCAAAGCATCTCCCGGCGATGAAACAACATCCTTTAATCTTGTTATGACTACATGCTACTTTTTCATAACATACGAAACACTAGAAAAAGTCGCAAAGTCACTGTTACTTCATGTGGGTTGACGATGATTATCCTTTTCCCGAAATGGACATGTTTACCTTACATCTATAAATCCGAATAAAATGATAGGACAAAATGATATGAAATGAGGGACAAACATATGCCCTTTACCGACATACGTACAGATGTCATATTTCTCTTTAGAAAGCGATTATGAAGTTCACACATCAATAAGGTGTAAATCACTTATCCTTGTACGTAAAAACGGTACTGCACGGTCGTGAATATACGGGCAGTCTGATGAGAATACCAACTTATCACATATCTATGCTGATATTGCGAGTCCATAAAAATGGTATTGCACGGCCGTGCATATATTTTGACGTGACGTCATTTACGTTATACAAACATAGTGTAAATACGTTCTAAATGTTTCAGTAGCGTAATTACTACAGGCGCGTCAATGAAAATTTTCTTCCTTTGTACTTTAAACAGTCTTTATGTCTTTATTTTGGGTATGTGATGAATAGGATATTATATTCGTATAGGTTCATTACTTAATTTATTGAACTCGCATAATGTGATTTTATTTATCTCGTTCAATAAATTCAGATCATTGAACTGGTTAAATAAATTAATATTTTGCTCGCCGTGTATAATATTTGGAAAAGATCTAATTCACTGTAATTGTTGAGGTATTAACGCCAGATATTAAGCAGAAAGTTCTACATTTACAATAGCGAGAATGCAAACGTTATGGGTAATGTTTTGTATATCACACCAGGGATGTTCAGCCATGTCTTCTTCAGCTCCTGTTTTAGAACACACATAATGATATAAACTGATAGTTTTACAATGGTATAGTCTATAAATTCACCAAGACGGACCAAGTAGCGTCTCATTTTTTCATGAACAGGCTCTGGTGACTTTTCCGATTATTAGACTTGAAGAATAACACGGGACAGACCAATACAGTAAAAATAGAAAAATATGCTGAGAACATATCAAGTTTATGGTTTGAACTCTTAAGGTCGGCAAGCAGCACTAAGGCGGACATCACTCAATGATGTTATGCAACTTCCGTGTAATAATTGTGAACCTTACAGGGATTATATATTTTCTGTTAGTCAGTATGTAATTGTGTACCTTTCATACTTTATACATGTCCTGTAAGTCAGTATGTAATTGTGTACCTTACAGACTTTATACATGTCTTGTAAGACAGTATGTAATTGTGTACCTTTCATACTTTATACATGTCCTGTAAGTCAGTATGTAATTGTGTACCTTACAGACTTTATACATTTCCTGTTAGTCAGTATGTAATTGTGTACCTTACATACTTTATACATGTCCTGTAAGTCAGTATGTAATTGTGTACCTTACAGACTTTATACATGTCCTGTAAGACAGTATGTAATTGTGTACCTTTCATACTTTATACATTTCCTGTTAGTCAGTATGTAATTGTGTACCTTACAGACTTATACATTTCCTGTTAGTCAGTATGTAATTGTGTACCTTACATACTTTATACATGTCCTGTAAGTCAGTATGTAATTGTGTACCTTACAGACTTTATACATGTCCTGTAAGTCAGTATGTACTTGTGTACCTTACAGACTTTATACATGTCCTGTAAGTCAGTATGTAATTGTGTACCTTACAGACTTTATACATGTCCTGTAAGTCAGTATGTAATTGTGTACCTTACAGACTTTATACATGTCCTGTAAGTCAGTATGTAATTGTGTACCTTACATACTTTATACATGTCCTGTAATCCTGTAAGTCAGTATGTAATTGTGTACCTAACAGACTTTATACATGTCCTGTAAGTCAGTATGTAATTGTGTACCTTACAGACTTTATACATTTCCTGTAAGTCAGTATGTAATTGTGTGCCTTACATACTTTATACATTTCCCGTTAATCAATATGTAATTGTGTACCTTACAGGGAGTATACATTTCCTGTTAGTCAATATGTAATTATGTATCTAACAGGGATTATATATCTTCTGTTTTTCAGTATGTAATTGTGTATTTTACAGGGACTATACATTTTCTGTTTGTCAGTATGTAATTGTGTACATTACAGGAAATACACATTTTCTGTTAGTCAGTAAGTAATTGTGTATCTTACAGGAATATACATTTTTCTGTTAGTCAGTATGTAATAATTGTGTACCTTACAGGGACTATACGTCTTCTGGGTATGAAGATGAACTGTGCTTTGCTGCCAGTGTCCTTCATGATGTAACAGGTAAAAGTGTATACCTGTCGGACGCCATAGTATATTTTGACAAGTTTGCAAGTGCGGGAACTCCAAAATACTTTTCCTGGGACGACAAACGAACAGCTTGTGCGGTAATATTTTAATTTTCAACAATCCTTGAAATTATGAAGATCGTACACCATGAACGATCCTATCTATGTCACTGTTTGACGAGATGACAATATTCTTTTATTTTTTCAGACTGCCACTGTATGGCGATATCTATCACTGTTAAAAGTTTTACCTAAGTCTAAGTTAATGATATGGTCCTGTTTGACGTATTGCCAATTTTGACAATATTTAACTATTTCGACCATATTTTACAGTTTAACAATGTTACAATGTTCAAATATTATTGACAGAATGACACTTATTTACAACATGCAATTGTATGGCGAAATGGCACTAATATGAAGTTCTATGACGATATAGTACTATAATCAACTGTTAGATAGTATGTAGCTGTTTGACGATAGGTACTGATTGACAGAATGCTATATAAAACACAATTTGACACCGGATGACACTGACACAGTTTAACGTTCTGACTCTGTTTGACGATATAAAAACGATTTAGGTTCTGACACTGTTTGACGTTCTGACACTGTTTGACATTCTGACACTGTTTGACATTCTGACACTGTTTGTAGTTCTGACACTGTTTGACGATATAAAAACGATTAAGGTTCTGACACTGTTTGACGTTCTGACACTGTTTGACATTCTGACACTGTTTGACGTTCTGACACTGTTTGACGTTCTGACACTGTTTGACATTCTGACACTGTTTGACATTCTGACACTGTTTGTAGTTCTGACACTGTTTGGCGATATAAAAACTATTTAGGTTCTGACACTGTTTGACGTTCTGACACTGTTTGACATTCTGACACTGTTTGACATTCTGACACTGTTTGTAGTTCTGACACTGTTTGACGAGATAAAAACGATTAAGGTTCTGACACTGTTTGACGTTCTGACACTGTTTGACATTCTGACACTGTTTGACGTCCTGATACTGTTTGACGTTCTGACAATGTTTGACATTCTGACACTGTTTGACATTCTGACACTGTTTGTAGTTCTGACACTGTTTGGCGTTCTGATACTGTTTGACATTCTGACACTGTTTGGTGTTCTGACACTGTATGACGTTCTGAAACTGTTTGGCGTTCTGATACTGTTTGACTTTCTGACACTGTTTGACATTCTGACACTGTTTGACGGTCTGACACTGTTTGAAGTTCTGACACTGTTTGACGTTCTAACACTTTTTGATGTTCTGACACTGTTTGAAGTTCTAACACTGTTTGACGTTCTTACTTTGTTTGGCGTTTTGACACTGTTTGACGTTCTGACACTGTTTGACGTCATGACACTGTTTGACGTTCTAACATTGTTTGACGTTCTGACACTGTTTGACGTTTTGACACTTTTTGACGTTCTGATACTGTTTGACGTTCTGACACTGTTTGACGTTCTGACACTGACGTTTTGACACTGTTTGAAGTTCTAACACTGTTTGACATTTTGACACTGTTTGGTGTTCTGACATTGTTTGACGTTCTGACACTGTTTGACGTTCTGACACTGCTTGACGTTTTGACACTGTTTGACGTTCTAACACTGTTTGACGTTCTGACACTGTTTGGCGTTCTGACACTGTTTGACGTTCTGACACTGTTTGGCGTTCTGATACTGTTGACAGTCTGACACTGTTTGACGTTTTGACGTTCTGACACTGTTTGACAGTCTGTCACTGTTGACGGTCTGACAATGTTTGACAGTCTGACACTGTTTGACAGTCTGTCACTGTTAACGGTCTGACACTTCTGACGTCATGTTAATTTCCCATAGGCCTCTGGAAGTTATTCTTACTGTTACTGCAAGTGTACCACGTGACTAAGAATTTTGTTGTTACATAGGAAATAGTACTTTTTAACAGTATAAAATTAGGTCGCGTGGTCTATTTTCTAAATAAAATGGCCGCCATTTTTTTCTCGACTATTTTCTTATTTCCGAAGTTCACCACGACAGGAAATTACCAAAGTAAGTATGATACCCATAAAATTTTGTTGTTTGCATCCTGGAGCGCCTCAGGTAACAGTATATTTCTTGGGGTGACATTTTTACTATTACCCACAAACCCATGTGCTATTTTTATCCTTCTACTGTCTATATCATCAGCTGGATAAAGCCTTGCCGGATAAACTTATATCTATCTCCAGTCATTACGTCACATGATGACGTCACATATTAAGCAGCAAAACAAAACTGCATATATATAGAGGATATTGAATGAGTGTAAGTTCAATACTGAATTTATTGCACGAGTTGAATAAAATTATATTATGCGAGCCTCTGGCGAGCATAATATTATTTTATTCAACGAGTGCAATAAATTCAGTAATGAACTTACACGAATTTAATATTCTATTTATCACAAACCCAAAATAAAAACCGTTTAAGGTGAAATAAGAGTCATTTTTCATTGACGCGCCTATAGTACAACGCTAGCATTACACTATGTTTGTATAACGCTAATGACGTCACGTCAAAATATATGCACGGCCGTGCAATACCATATTTACGGAGTCGCAAAATCGGCACGGGTGTGTGATAAATATATATATGCTATTTTATCGGGGAAAAAGAAGAATGAAACCATTTAATTATTCTAAAAACATGATAAAAAGCAGGATAAATCAAATACATGGTTGATGTCGGGATGGAGAAGGTTTATCCGGTTCGCTGCGAAAGTGAATCTTGGCTCGCTAAAGCTCGCCAAGATACACTTTCTCGCTCACCGGATAAACCTTCTCCATCCCGACATCAACCATGTATTTTCTATATATAATGATAAGATGCTGTTTGACGTTCTTACACTGTTTGACTGTTTTATTTACACTGTTTGACTGTTTTATTATTAAAATTTTCCATTCGTTAGGTAATTTTGTACAAGATAACACGAAAACAGAAATACGCTTCATACTTACAAGATTTCCGCAAATTTTGGCTGGACACATCTGGCCAAACAACATTTAATGGTTTTGCCTGGAGAAGTGAAAATGGCACGTTAAGTGTAACAGGTAAGCATATCTGTCAGTGTCACATAAGTAAACGACGTATATAATATTATGTAATATTTTATGCCATTGGAGGTGCTACATAATAATGTAACGCGTAAGTTATGAATATATTGATATAACATGTACGTGTAAGTTCGATATAGCATTGACAATGGAGGGGGCATTATTTAAATGTATCGACATTCCGTTAAATGATGTGTGTAATACAATTTAAGAAGGGATATTTTTTGTAAGGACAATGGAAATGTGTTTGTTTAGATAAGATCAAGCTAGTTGTTATAGACAACAGTAACTTATACAATTACGATTTTATGTAATTGTATCGTTTAATTCATGAAGTAAATGTACAATTCGTGTTTAAAAGATGTGTTACGTAAAGTGTTTTAGTTAACATCATAATGATTGTTAAATATTTGTGTAGTTTTTAATAAGTGCATAGTTTTAAGATGTAAAATATGATTGTAACGTAGATCAAATAAAATGCATGCTGTTTATTATCTGACATACATGCTTAAAATGATAGTAAAGTAACGTACGTACATGTTAAAGATAAGAACAAGTTGAGTATAGTAACGTATATATTTTAAAGCAATAAAGTAACGTATATGTTTAAAATGGTCATCATGCAGATTTTAAAAAAATAAGGGAATAACAAAGGTTAGTGTATGTATCATAGCTATTTAATGTAAAAGAAGGATTTTATGTCAGAGACAACACTAGCATAGTATTTAAAGGTTATCGTAAAATTGTATTTGAAAAATAACTATAATAACAAATCTTTTAAAAGTAAGGATCAGGTAGATGTAAATGCGACGGCTAAGTGGATTTCAAAAATAAGGATCAGGCAGAAGTAAACCCGAGGGTTAGGTAAATTTTAAAGATAAGAATCAGGTAGATGTAAACGCCAGGGCTGAGTGGATTCTAAAGATAAGGATCATGAAGATATGAACGCAAGGGTTAAGTGGATTTTTAGATAAGGATTAGGTAGATGTTAACGCGAAGGTTAAGTGGATTTTACCGATTAGGATGAAGCAGATGTAAACACGAGGATTAAGTGGATTTTATATATTACGATCAGGTATGTGTAAACAGCGAGAGTTAAGTGGATATTTAAGATAAGGATCAGGTAGATGTTAATAAGAGGGTTAAGTGGATTTTAGATATTAGGATCAGGTACATGTAAACTGCGAGGGTTAAGTGGATTTTAAAGATAAGGATCAGGTTGTTGTAAACGCGGGGGTTATCTGGATTTTAAAGATTAGGATCATGTAGATGTAACGCGAGGGTTTAGTGGATTTGTAAGATAAGGATCCGGTACATGTTAACGTGAGGGTTAAGTGGATTTATAGATAAGGATCAGGTACATGAAACATGTGGATTTTAAAGATAAATGTCAGGTAGATGTAAACACGAGGGTTAAGTAGAAATTTATAGATAAGGATCAGGTACATGTAAACGTTAAGGTTCTGTGGAATTTAATGATAAGGATCAGCTCTACAAAGGTCTCCACAAAGTTGATAGTTTGGATTCAAATTTATCTTCAGACTACTTATTTTTCAAAAAGGAAAGTTGCTGGTAGGGGTATTAATCATCGGCAGTAATAGGTCTAGTTCGTTGAATCTTCCAAGAATTTTAATTTACAACCTCCTTGCTTTTATATAACGATCTAGATAATTCAGTATCATTTTTTGAAGTTTTTTTTCCTTTATTTTCAGCCAATGCAATTTTCATACTGCTACAGAGTATTGAAGCTGGTGTGTTTGAGAATGAGGTTGCCACGGAGATTTATATTTGGAGTAGCAAGCAGATTAACTATATGCTAGGTGCAAATGGAATGCACTACAGTTACCTGATTGGTTACGGAAATGAATATGTTAAAAATCCATACCATAAAAATAGGTTAGTGTTTTTGCTGGCGACCTTTATTTCTCTATGTTATGTCTGTTTGCAACTAACTTCCATATACCATTCGCGAGAAAAAAAATCAAACATCAAGCCAATAAATAAATAAATAAATAAATAAATAAAAGTAAAAGTAGACATATTACTGGGAGTGTCATTGAGCTTGGATATGTTTAAAACTTCCCACGGACAAGTGTTTCAAAATACTCAATTTCTAACCATCTTAAACCTTTCTAATTTGCGGTGTCTATTTCTCATACTGCTTCGGTTCTTCACGGTATCTATCGTTTAAGCGCCAATCAGAGTTCGAGAAGTGTATTTGCATTTTTATATCTTTTATACAATTACAATATATTATCATTTCATTTGCACATGAAGCGCATGCTCAAAGTCTAAGGAATGTGGATGGAGTTTTTATGAATCGTTGTCGGATAACCAAAACACATTAATCGGTGCTCTTGTTGGTGGCCCTGATGTAAATGATTATCATACAGATACAAGACAAAACAAGCTAGGAAACAGTGTCGCTCTAGATTATAATGCCGGGTTTCAGTCAGCTCTTGCAGGTCTGTATTCAAGCTAGGAAACAGTGTCGCTCTAGATAATAATGCTGGGTTTCAGTCAGCTCTAGCAGGTCTGTATACAAGCTAGGAAACAGCGTCGCTCTAGAGTATAATGCTGGGTTTCAGTCAGTTCTTGCAGGTCTATATACAAGCTAGGAAACAGTGTCGCTCTAGAGTATAATGCTGGGTTTCAGTCAGCTCTAGCAGGTATGTATACAAGCTAGGAAACAGTGTCACTCTAGAGTATAATGATGGGTTTCCGTCAGCTCTAGCAGGTCTGTATACAAGCTAGGAAACAGCGCGTCGCTCTAGATAATAATGCTGGGTTTCAGTCAGCTCTTGCAGGTCTGTATACAAGCTAGGAAACAGTGTCGCTCTAGAGTATAATGCTGGGTTTCAGTCAGCTCTAGCAGGTCTGTATACAAGCTAGGAAACAGTGTCGCTCTAGAGTATAATGCTGGGTTTCAGTCAGCTCTTGCAGGTCTGTATACAAGCTAGGAAACAGCGTCGCTCTAGAGTATAATGCTGGGTTTCAGTCAGCTCTAGCAGGTCTGTATACAAGCTTGGAAACAGTGTCACTCTAGAGTATAATGCTGGGTTTCAGTCAGTTCTAGCAGGTCTGTATACAAGCTAGGAAACAGTGTCGCTCTAGAGTATAATGCTGTGTTTCAGTCAGCTCTAGCAGGTCTGTATACAAGCTAGGAAACAGTGTCACTCTAGAGTATAATGATGGGTTTCAGTCAGCTCTAGCAGGTCTGTATACAAGCTAGGAAACAGTGTCGCTCTAGAGTATAATGCTGGATTTCAGTCAGCTCTAGCAGGTCTGTATACAAGCTAGGAAACAGCGTCGCTCTAGAGTATAATGCTGGGTTTCAGTCAGTTCTAGCAGGTCTGTATACAAGCTAGGAAACAGTGTCGCTCTAGAGTATAATGCTGGGTTTCAGTCAGCTCTAGCAGGTCTGTATACAAGCTAGGAAACAGTGTCACTCTAGATTATAATGCTGGGTTTCAGTCAGCTCTAGCAGGTCTGTATACAAGCTAGGAAACAGTGTCACTCTAGAGTATAATGCTGCGTTTCAGTCAGCTCTAGCAGGTCTGTATACAAGCTAGGAAACAGTGTCACTCTAGATTATAATGCTGCGTTTCAGTCAGCTCTTGCAGGTCTGTATACAAGCTAGGAAACAGTGTCACTCTAGAGTATAATGATGGGTTTCAGTCAGCTCTAGCAGGTCTGTATACAAGCTAGGAAACAGTGTCACTCTAGAGTATAATGATGGGTTTCAGTCAGCTCCAGCAGGTCTGTATACAAGCTAGGAAACAGCGTCGCTCTAGAGTATAATGCTGCGTTTCAGTCAGCTCTTGCAGGTCTGTATACAAGCTAGGAAACAGTGTCACTCTAGAGTATAATGATGGGTTTCAGTCAGCTCTAGCAGGTCTGTATACAAGCTAGGAAACAGTGTCACTCTAGAGTATAATGATGGGTTTCAGTCAGCTCTAGCAGGTCTGTATACAAGCTAGGAAACAGTGTCGCTCTAGAGTATAATGCTGCGTTTCAGTCAGCTCTTGCAGGTCTGTATACAAGCTAGGAAACAGTGTCACTCTAGAGTATAATGCTGCGTTTTAGTCAGCTCTAGCAGGTCTGTATACAAGCTAGGAAACAGTGTCACTCTAGAGTATAATGATGGGTTTCAGTCAGCTCTAGCAGGTCTGTATACAAGCTAGGAAACAGTGTCGCTCTAGAGTATAATGCTGCGTTTCAGTCAGCTCTTGCAGGTCTGTATACAAGCTTGGAAACAGTGTCGCTCTATAGTGTAATGCTGGGTTTCAGTCAGCTCTTGCAGGTCTGTATACAAGCATGGAAACAGTGTCGCTCTAGAGTGTAATGCTGGGTTTCAGTCAGCTCTTGCAGGTCTGTATACAAGCTAGGAAACACTGTCGCAATAGAGTATAATGCTGGGTTTCAGTCAGCTCTAGCAGGTCTGTATACAAGCTAGTAAACAGTGTCACTCTAGAGTATAATGCTGCGTTTCAGTCTGTATACAATTATCAGCAAGTCATGACAATCTTATATTGAAGATCTTTACAAGATTTGAATCTTAACATGTTTAGCATACACTTTGTATACATTTATCTATCATTATTCTTAAGTGAAATTTTAAACGTACATGCACTACATGTAGTTTATAATAAAACAATTGAAAGTTGTTGTTCCCATTTCTTGTCCTCATAGAAAATATGCATCCTCAAAGTTGGGTCTCATCGATGCATATAATCTACACACAACTATATTGTTAGACGTATAAGAATGTAAACTTAACTCAATTTTCCATATATTGATCATTAGATTTAAATGTTATATTGGAATTAATTTGTTATAGACAAGAATTAATTTATTATAGATTTGAATTAATTTGTTATAGACTGAAATTAATTTGTTACATCACGATGATGATACTCAGTTTTCTATTTTTATCTGTCTACCATTTTAATTGAAAGCCTCTTTCAACTCAATATGAACCTGTTTCTTCACTCACAAACACTTACACTCGCGTTTACAATAAATGAGGTTTACTAGGTGATAATACTTGCTAAACAAATAATTATATGTAATGTTTGTTAATTCTTTTCAAATTCAATTGTTAATTTTCTGTTTATAATTATGTCAATTAGGACTTGAGAAGAAAAACTTGCAGTTGGAGAAGAGATGTAGAAACCATAATGGAGGTAAACATGTAACATTTGTTGTTTATTTTAAAGGAGCTGGGTCTGTTTTGTGATAAACCCCCTTGTGGCTGAGGGGTTGCGTGACACGGAGTATCGTGACATGTTGACCGTGGAGTATCGTGGCCTGTTTGTAACAATACGGTATCGTGACATATATAACGATGAAGTATTGTGACGTGTATGTAAGACCACAGAGTATTGTGGCATGGTTACCGTGGAATATCGTGGCATGTATGTTACATGCGGTATCAAGGCATATATAACCACGGATAATCTTGGCATGTTTACCGTGGAGTATCGTGGCATGTATGTAACATGCGGTATCAAGGCATATAGAACCACGGAGTATTTGTGGAATGTTTACCGTGGAGTATCGTGGCATGTATGTAACATGCGGAATCAAGGCATATATAACCACGGAGTATCATGACATCTATGTAACGGTAGAGTATCGTGGCATATATAACCACGAAGTATCGTGACATGTTTACCACGGAGTATCGTGGCATGTATGTAACAATACAGTATCAAGGCATATATAACCACGAAGTATCGTGGCATGTATGTAACAATACAGTATCAAGGTATATATAACCACGAGTTCAGGGATATGTTTTATATTCAATATTTTTAATATGTTTTATATTCCATATAAAAATGTTGTACAAAGCTTTTATTTATTTAATGATTTTGTTGATCAGGAATTGAATTTTCTACACCTCACGTAATCCAGCCTCTAACAGACCCAACATCAGCGACTAAGTACTCAACAACAGAACCAACACGTGCGTATTTTATGAAACAACAAAATTCACATACATAGCGTTATTAGTACTTATAGTTTGCTAAAAGTGTTATTATGCCCATCCGATCATAAATGAATGATCAGTGAACAGATAAGAATAAATAAAATAATAAAATAAATTTGCATTTTGCCATACTTGTTTTTACTATTAACGGAAATTTTCTATAAATATCGTTCAGTATATGCATCGGTAACATTTATCAATTCTTTAAAAAAGTGGACATACTTTTTTATATTTTATGTGTTATTTTATATTGTTTCATAAATATTTACATTTAGTAATTATTATTATTTAATTGTCAATTACCATTATGATAGCCAATCTTTTGGAGTATTTTGCTATTTCAACTCGACTTAAAAGTGAAAAATATGTGCCTAATGTCATTTTAATAATTTGAGTATTGAAACATCATTAGAGTTAAAGTTTGCAAAACTGAAAATAAATAAAAGCAAAATAACTGCTACTGTGTTTTGCGCAACATGTATTTCTTCATTTATTTAAAATAATAGCCCTTGTTTTTGGAACTTCGCTTAAATTATTAAAATGTTTATGGAACACATGGACATTTTTATCTCACATTGATTTAAGAGTAAAATACAACAAACTGGCATTATAGCATTATATCAATTGATTTAGAAGTCAAATACAACATACTTGCATAATAGCATTTATAATTTATATCGATTGATTTAGAAGAAAAATACAAAACACTGGCATTATAGCATTATATCAATTGATAAGACGTAAAATACAACATACTAGCATTATAGCATTATATCAATTGATTTTGAAGTAAAACACAACATACCGACATTATATCATTATATCACTTGATTTTGATGTAAAATACAACATACCGACATTATAGCATTATATCAATTGATGTACAAGTAAAGTACAACACACTGACATTATAGCATTATATCAATTGATTTAGAAGTAGAATACAACATACTGGCATTCTAGCATTATATCAATTGATTTAGAAGTAAAATACAACATACTGGCATTCTAGCATTATATCAATTGATTTTGAAGTAATATACAACATACTGGCATTCTAGCATTATATCAATTGATTAAGAAGTCAAATACAAGATACTGGTATTCTAGCATTATATCAATTGATTTAGAAGTACAATACAACAAACTGGCATTCTAGCATTATGTCAATTTATTTAAAAGTAAAATAAAAGATACTGGCATTCTAGCATTATATCAATTGATTTAGAAGTAAAATACAAGATACTGGCATTCTAGCATTATATCAATTGATTTTGAAGTAAAATACAACATACAGGCATTATAGCATTATATCAATTGATTTAGAAGTAAAATACAAGATACTGGCATTCTAGCATTATATCAATTGATTTAGAAGTAAAATACAAGATACTGGCATTCTAGCATTATATCAATTGATTTAGAAGTAAAATACAAGATACTGGCATTCTAGCATTATATCAATTGATTTAGAAGTAAAATACAAGATACTGGCATTCTAGCATTATATCAATTGATTTAGAAGTAAAATACAAGATACTGGCATTCTAGCATTATATCAATTGATTAAGAAGTACAATACAACATACTGGCATTCTAGCATTATATCAATTGATTTAGAAGTACAATACAACATACTGGCATTCTAGCATTATATCAATTGATTTAGAAGTACAATACAACATACTGGCATTCTAGCATTATATCAATTGATTTAAAAGTAAAATACAAGATACTGGCATTCTAGCATTATATCAATTGATTGAAAAGTAAAATACAATATACTGGCATTCTAGCATTATATCAATTGATTTAGAAGTACAATACAACATACTGGCATTCTAGCATTATATCAATTGATTTAGAAGTACAATACAACATACTGGCATTCTAGCATTATATCAATTGATTTAGAAGTAAAATACAACACACTGACATTCTAGCATTATATCAATTGATTTAGAAGTAAAATACAAGATACTGGCATTCTAGCATTATATCAATTGATTTTGAAGTAATATACAAGATACTGGCATTCTAGCATTATATCAATTGATTTTGAAGTAATATACAAGATACTGGCATTATAGCATTATATCAATTGATTTTGAAGTAATATACAAGATACTGGCATTCTAGCATTATATCAATTGATTTTGAAGTAATATACAAGATACTGGCATTTTAGCATTATATCAATTGATTTAGAAGTAAAATACAAGATACTGGCATTCTTGCATTATATCAATTGATTTAAAAGTAAAATACAACATACTGGCATTCTAGCATTATATCAATTGATTTAGAAGTACAATACAACATACTGGCATTCTAGCATTATATCAATTGATTTAGAAGTACAATACAACATACTGGCATTCTAGCATTATATCAATTGATTTAGAAGTAAAATACAACATACTGGCATTCTAGCATTATATCAATTGATTTTGAAGTAATATACAAGATACTGGCATTATAGCATTATATCAATTGATTTAGAAGTAAAATACAAGATACTGGCATTCTTGCATTATATCAATTGATTTAGAAGTAAAATACAACATACTGGCATTCTAGCAATATATCAATTGGTTTAGAAGTACAATACAACATACTGGCATTCTAGCATTATATCAATTGGTTTAGAAGTACAATACAACATACTGGCATTCTAGCATTATATCAATTTATTTAGAAGTAAAATACAAGATACTGGCATTCTAGCATTATATCGATTGATTTAGAAGTAAAATACAAGATACTGGCATTCTAGCATTATATCAATTGATTTAGAAGTAAAATACAAGATACTGGCATTCTAGCATTATATCAATTGATTTAGAAGTAAAATACAAGATACTGGCATTCTAGCATTATATCAATTGATTTAGAAGTAAAATACAAGATATTGACATTCTAGCATTATATCAATTGATTTAGAAGTAAAATACAAGATACTGGTATTCTATCATTATATCAATTTATTTAGAAGTAAAATACAAGATACTGGCATTGTAGGCATTATATCAATTGATTTAGAAGAAAAATAAAAAATAGGGCATTCTGGGAAATTAAAAATAAATTTAAATTTAAAACATATGGTTTAAATAGATTATTTTAAATTTAATTTAGTTTGTTCCTAAAAAAACCCAAAACATAAATTTTAACTAAAACTAAAGCCCTCAAAAAATCAAATTTTTTTTTTCTTGGGGCGAAAAAGTTTTGGAACGAAAACCAAAAATTTTCCCCAAAACCCAAATGGCGAGGTTTGGGTTTACACGGGGAGACAGAACGTCAGGTGGGTTAGGGATGGTAAAAACTGTAAAACTATATATTTTTTATTTTTAAAGAAATCCCAAGGGGGTTTTTTAAAAAAATAAATTTAAACGAAAAATACGTAAGCACAAGTCACCACCGCTCTTTAATTTTACTTTTTGGGGAAAATTTTTTACACATGTACTTTAAAATTTTTTAACATAAATTTAAAACGACGTTTTGGGTTTTAAAACAAACAATAACTAAAACTAAAATGAAAAATGACGAAATTTTAAAATGCCCCAAATAGAGATATATTAAACATGAAAAAAATGAAAATGATCATTTATAAAGAATTTCTAAAAACCCATAAATATTTTTTTTAAACATGAAATTGTTTTTAAGACGGGTCAGCAGTAAAGACGACAAAAAGGTAGGGCCCTCGGCTGTTATAGTGTTTGGGTTTTGGGGAGTTTTTGAATTTCAAGGCGGGATACGAGACAGGGGGTTTTAAATTACACGATTTTGAAACGTAGTTTTGAGATGGCCTTTTAGATTATTTTATAAAAATAGGGGCTACCTGATAATTTCAGGGCTTAATACAAAAGGTTTTTATTACAAGAAAATTCCCTTCATAAAAATTTTAATATATTATTGTTAAAAAAGTTAGTTTTTTAGCGCATTTTATGGAAAATTTTTTTTTAAAAAAAAGTGTATTTATTTCATTAAATTAAAACAGCGGGGAAAAAGACCCGCACTAATTTTTTATATCCCCGATTTTTTTATGGGAAAGGGCGGCTTAGAGGCGTTTGAGGAGGGAAAGTGGTCGCGGCCCCGAAAATAGAAAATGGATTGAAAATTATTTTTTAAAATATGCGTTTTTAAGGGCCCCAAAAAAAAGGGGCTACGTGGCTGGTGAAAGTGGAAAGCACTTTTTTATTGAAACAGAAAATTTCAAAGAAAAAAGGGAAATTTCCCTTTTTTTAATTTTTTAAAGGGCCAATTACTGATAATTAGTCCAAAATTACATTTTTCAAAATTTTAAAAAAATGAAAAACCCCTAAAAAAACGCTCAAAAGGGGACCCATTGGGAAAATCCTTTTGGGGAAATGAAAAGGAATATGTAAAAAGTCAGCCTTTCCCCTTTTTAAAAATGATGAAAACCAAAGGGTGGTTAAAACCTTGAAAAACATAATAGATGTCGTCTAAAAAATCATTGGTTTTTTAAAAATTTGTCTTTAAAACTTTTCGTAAAAAAAGTTAACTTTTGTAAAAATATTTATTTTAAAATATTTTTTTAACTTAAACAAATGTAAAAAAAAATATAAACATTTCACAAATGATTTTTTGAGTCATAAACTATTTTACTTTTTTTAGGTATTAAAACCCTTTTTTCCCCCATGAGAAAATTGGGGAAAAATGGCCATTCTCACTGAAAAAACCTTTCCCCTTTCAAGTTCAAAAATGCCCATGGAAAAAATAAAGGAAAAAAGCTTCAAACTTTGGGAAAAATTTTTGACTGGACCAAATTTCCCTTTTTTAACGACAAAGCCCCGTCTTTTTAAAATTTTCCCGTTACCTTGGGGAACGGGGGACATTTTTCAAAAATTTGGGCCCAAAAAACAAATATTTTGGGCCCCCATTTTTTCCAAAACAAAATTTATTTCAAAAATGCTTTGACAAAATTCTCAAGGGATTGAAGATTTGAGTTCCCAAAA